ATATTTAAGGGTGTGGTTTGAATAAGGCTGAGGCCCTAACCAATCAAAGTGAGGCGTATTTTCAAAGCTACCTAAAAGCAGTGTTGGAAACCACGTCTCAAGGACGGAACTTGGCAATGGGCCGAGCTCGAGTAGCTGAGTAACTATAACTCGGGCTGAGTTTCGAATTACTTGGCCCGAGTCGCGGCAAGGTCTTGTTAGGTCAAAAGTGTTAAAAAAATACAAAAAAAATATGATAAATATCTTTAACGTAAAATTAAACAAAGCACATTTAAACGAGGTTAAAAAAATACTAAAAAAATGAGATTTTGAAGAAAATAATTTGTGACCGGGGGTAATTTGAGAAATAATCTAAAAAGAAGAAAAAAATGTGAAAATAAGTATTCATGGCAAAAACACTTTACAACCTTTTCCAAAGTGATACAACACATAAAGAAACAAATTACAAATATTTTTTTTATTTATATATATATATATATATATATATATATATATATATAACATCTCTGAGCTTGACCACCAAACTCGGGATACTCAGGTTTGCCAGGGTGGCAAGCCGAAGTTACTCGCTCGAGTCGGAGCTGGTTTACTCAAGTAGTCAAACACTGCCTAAAAGTGCATTTATTTATAGTAATATTTAACTCAGAACTGGGTGAGAATGGAACTCTAGTACACCTAAAGTACTTTCCAAGGATTTGCTTGTTTGCATGTTTGTCCGAATTCTATGAGCAATATCCTTTTTTTTTTCCTTTCTTTTTTATTTAATCATGAATGTCCTATTGTTTCAATTACTAAAATGTAAATGTACAAATGTTACTTGTTGCCAAGTAAAATTGCAACCAGGTAAAATGAATATTAAAATTTGTTTACATGTAAAATAGAACTCTACTCACCTTGCCTTGCCAGCTACTCCTTAGCTTCTTTGTAGGCATGGACATGGTTAATGTTCTTCCCCATACTGAAGTCATGAATCTCATTCATCAATTCAATTAGTCGTCATGATCTCTGCGGTGTCTGCTTTACACCACTTGATGGTATCCATTCGGTTGGCTTCAATGATTATATCATTATACATACCCTCCATGAGTCTTTTGAACAGTGTTTAAAAAGGGTCAGCTCAGACTCGGTCGAGTTATTCGAGCTTGGGTATTGGCTGAGCCCGAGTTTTCCCAAATAGGGAAGTCAACTCGGGAATCTTAAAACACAAATTAAAAAAAAAAAATTTCAAAAATAAGAAATTTTTTTGTAAACATGTTTATTTGTCTTCTATCATTTTGGCTAAGTTGACCATGAGCACTTATTTTTATATTTTCGCTTTCTTTTTAGATTATTTCAAAAATACCCCCAGTCACTTGATTTTATAAAATTTATTTTTAACTATTTTTTACCTCATTTAGATGTGTTTTGTTTAATTTTATTTTAAATATATATTTTTTATTTTATTTTCTAAAATTTTTGAACATTTTTTTGCTGCTACAGTTCTTGGCCCAACTCAGGCAGAGTTACTCGGGCTCGGATCGGGTAGAGTCGTTCATTCAATCACTGCTTTTGAATATTGCTCTTACCCGACTTCATCTGCTATGATATTTTCCGGAGACCTGAGTATTTCATTTTGGTAACTCCATTATCATCCCTTAGCAAACACTTGCCTAAAACTCTCAAGTGAGTTTCTATCAAACTCAAAGTTGAGTCTTATATATCCTCATGGATTTCATATGGTGATTTTTTGTGAGGAAGCTGTAACCCTTGTTGTGTGATTCCTCCCCCTCGGTACTGTAATTCTTTATTATTTTCAGCCATACTTCGCATAAAAATGCTTTCGAAATTACTCTCTTTCATACGTTCAACATCAATTTCGACACTACTGGAAATCACCATTGCCTCCTGGCTCATTCGAGAGACCAGAGCTAAGTGTCACAACAATTTATTTTGGGTTTTACTTTTATCAACCATTATCAAGGAGGTCCTCACATACCCAAACAATAAAAACACCAAGCTAAAATTTAGTCTTTCAGACTGGACATATCTATACATCATCTCATGAAATGTTTTTCTTTGAAAATATAAAATTAAAAGAGATTTATCAAAGTATACCTTGTATGTTACCTATTTAACATTTGGAAAAACTTTTTTTATTTTTCTTACTGTATAGAAGTTATATACTTCCCCCAACATCTAGCCATCCAATTCATATCAAATGAGCCACTTGCCATTTGATCTAGAACCTCGCCTCAGAGTATTTTATTTTTTATATTTTTCTACAAATCATATGAATATAAAATTCGGTACATGTCACCATCGCAATGGAGCACTCCTAAAAAAATATAAAAAAGATATTCTCAATAAAATAAAATGACCAAAATACCCCTAAAATTTTCAAGGATATTTTGATCATTTTATTTTCTCAAGAATATTTTGTTTATATTGTTTTTTTTTTTTGCAAATGATAGTTTAAGTGAGGAGTGGACGTCCGAAATCTGATATCAATTTTTTTTGTAGAAATAAAATTAAAAATAAAAATATAGAGGCATGACATTGTGATTGGGTCCATCTCAATCGTTCATTCAAATCAAATGGTCGAGATTTTCATTTTCCTTTAACATTTTTCCCAGAGATTTTGATTTAATTTTCAAAATACCCATTAAAATAAACATGATTTTGAGTTGTGGTAGTATAAAAAGGGTAAAATGTTACATAGTTGCAAAAAGTGAATTGTATTTTGATAAAATTTCTTAAAATTAATATTCTCTCTTTTACAGGTGTGATGTACCATTATTTCTCTTAAGTCTGGATACTAGCCGCCTCTGCAGAACTAATATTATTAATTATTGTGATTAGTTTGTGCCTGAAACAATAACTATGTCACAACTAAGTTGGTTGCTAAGCTCCACTCCTAAAGGTCTCAGCTAAGAGTAAGCTTATACTCGACTTTGAATCTGCAATAATTAAGCATCTGCACCTTCGCGATAATTAAGTAAATAAACAATTCCATGACATAGCTTTGTCGGAACATAATCGCAATTGACGGCTTGACCTGCTGTCATGTTGGTCATGCTCAATGTCTCCGGTTCGAAGCCCAGCTTGACTGATGCCTTGGACACCCCTCTCTCTCTGTCTCTGTCTCTGTCTCTCTCTCTCTCTCAAGTAATCGTAATTCACGTAACATGGGATTCATGCACATCTGACTGTGCTCGTGTTCAGTGGTAGCTCAAGTGTGGCTACAGAGTGCTGTAGATCCTTACCAGCTGGGAAGTCAGCAAAAGGCCTTCTGTTTAATCATCAAGTAGTATAAGAGATTGAGGGAGTTTCTGATTGTTTGGCAATATACAATGTCACCTACAACTAGGACCACTTTTGCTATAGGACATCATCGTCATAGCATTTTTTCAATTAATATCACCTCTACTATAGGTCTGCTTACCAAATCGTTTTACAGAACTGATCCACCTTAATTAGCTAGAAAAAAGCTTTGACGATGATGATGAGATAATTTAGAAAATTGGACCACTTGCATTGTTTGAGGATCTTCACTCGCTTGAGCAATATGCTTGCTATAGCTTGACGACACCAAGAATGTTGTAATGCCTATATACAATTCAATAGGAAAGGTTTGTTGATTATATATACCTTTACCCAAAGAAAAGGTTCTCAATTATACACTACTTAGCAAAATGTTTACGTTACTCATAGCCCCGATTCCAAAAGCGATAGGACATCGATACTCGTTATAATCTCAAACAAGCACCTAGAGCATGGTGTGAGTGTTCAATAAGTACTATTAATCATCACAACTAAGCTGAATTTTTGGCTCTTCCCAAAGTTATTATAGCCCGTCATATTTGTGTTACTTCTAATACCACAACTGGCCATGATCCATGATCAGATTGCAGTTCATCATGTCAAATAACCTTCTATGAAGATTTTGACAAGAGTATCTCGAATCTAAATCACTCAGGTTCCCCATTGAGATACTTCTATCTCAAGCAAGTGAACGTTCCATGAAGCAAATAATGGGAGTATTCTTCAATTAAACCCAATATCGTGGCAAGTAAAGAGCTTCATAGTATCACAATTTCAAGAGGCCTAACTTCTGATTTTCTTCATTTATTTTATGTTACCCATGCATCAACCCACGGAAAAAACCTTCATATGATATGGGAAATTCACCAAAATAGCCACTAGATATGAGGTATTTAACTTCTTGCCCATTTGCAACTTACTACAACTCAAAACAATGATCATTTTTTTTTGGTATTTTGAAATTAAATCAAAAGATATAAGTGCTAAATTATTTATACCTCATGGATAATTTAATAGCATGTGTGCTTGTAGGTACATATCTCCAATTTATCTAATAAAAATACTTGGCATGAGATAATTAAGGTTTGCTTATTAAAAATTAAGCACACAGATTTACCATTCCATAGGAAATCCCGCCGTCATTTCTCTTCTTTCGTTTCTCATTCTTTTAGAATTTTGCTTCTATTTTACTATTTTCTTTTAGGAAAAGTATTTCACAGAAGGTTGCTTTATTTAACTACACCTCAAACCCCATCAAGAAATATAGTTATGGCACCATAAAACCTGCAAATCATTCATGTCCATCTTGACAATGATGGATTTGAAAAAGAAAATGGACTTCAAGCCCTAAAATGGTCATCTTGGCCACTTTATCTGGTCCATTTGAGACTTTTCACATCAGCAAAATATGCAACATTTAGGAGCATCATATTCCAATATCAGGGTGAGATGGATTTACATGTCATCGCGAGGTCTTTTTATGCTCGATCTAATTTTTCCAGAAGGGGTTTTAGATGTGGACTTACTAAATGTCACATTCCTTTCTTCTGTACCTGAGGTTCTGAATATATGTTAATGTTTCCTACCATACCATGATTCCCCTCTTTCCAGAGATAGAACTAGTTAAATGTGACCATCTCAGAACAGATGCTCCCATTCACTTGATTTTCATGCTCTCTTTTACTTCCACAAAAAGAAACTGTTACCAAAATTGCCTGCCATTTCCCTGCATCACCAGTCTTCACATGTTGGGAGAATTATTATACATAAATACTCTCAAAATTTTAGCTCCCTGGCTGCCTAGAATGGACTTTAAAATTAAGTCCCACATTATTGCTTTCCATTTTCTCTTTTCTATATATACAAAAAATGCAAGACATGGAAAACTGCCCTGGGGGGTAGGGGGGAAGGGACGAGAGAGAGAGAGAGAGAGAGAGAGAGAGAGAGACTTACATTTGACCCACCCCATTTCAGGCAGGTTGTCACTGACAAGCACTTAGCTCGTCGCAAGTGAATAAAACCAATGCAGTTCCTCGACGACCACGAGCAGCTGCATTTTATCCCAAAACCTTCAATAAATTATTCAATCTCTGGCAACATGCGCACCATTTCTTTTTGGTTTGAAATGGAAGAGTTGAGCGGGAAGCACAAGCCTCAGATTCTTCTGGACTGGCACTTGGCAAGTCTGATTCTAGCCTTTGAGAGATTGTTGATGATCAGAGAACTTATTCGTGGAAGTCCTCATATGGGGAAGAAGCATTAGAGGAATCGCTATCGAACGGTGTTGCTCTTGGTGATGATGGAACTGACTCTCTTTGCTGAGATACACCTGAAAGGGAACAGGAAAAACATGACATGTAAAACAGAGAGAGAGAGAGAGAGAGAGATCATGGAAAAAGAACTACAAAAAGAAAATGATTTTTTTTTCCTTTTGGGGCCGGGGAAGTCAGGGTGGGAATAGATAATAGAAAGAATCAAGAAAGGAAATAACTGAAATG